TTGTATCTCAGCACGCAACTTCATAAAGGTGAGTGCCCACACGGATGCCGGGGAGTTTTATTTTTCAGTAAGAGGATATCTTAGGTTGCCTTGTTGTATTTGCATCGTTGATAAACAGAAGTCTTCTGGTTGGGCTGGCTTTCAACACTTACAATATACTGGGACTGGTGAAGTTTTCACCACTTTCAAATCACAGTTTAGCATAAAGACCTGCTGTGTGAACATAGCCTTAGACTGAGACAAGCTTGAAAACCATAATAGACTGGCCTTGAATACACTTGACTAGAGTATTCTACATTGATTACAGCGTTTACAAAGGATTAGTCATGATTTTTAAAATTCCTGCCCTATTTTTAAAAACAAAATCTGACATTGTATTCATAAACTCAGCATTGTGTATCATCTCATGAGGTAACACAATCATTACAGTTCTAGGAATATCCCACTGGCATAATATGTAATCACAGAAAATAAGTCCAACATGAAGCTCTACCGACTGCACGCACTTAAGTCATTGAAGTGCGATGAAATCTGATTCTGCGCAAAGATGAAGGGATTAGGGGGAGCCAAGTAAAAGACACTGAGTAATGATGAATACTGTGATCATCTGCTGAAAAAAGAGAAAACGTAAAACAGCAATGAAGATCAAAGTGACCACAACAGAAGCCCCAAACCTCCATGAAGCCCACCACCTCATCATCACAGAGTGATGTGGTTTGTCTTACAGGAGGTTCCTATACTTATTACGGGTATTATATAAACTCCTCATGTGATCACGTTAAAGTATATGAGCTCTATCATCCCTTAGAGATCAGATTCGTAGCCTGTTTGTGAAGCTGATCTGATCATTTTCTTCATTAGATATTTAGTGCGTCATTTATTTTCGCAAAGGTCTTTAACCTTTTGTTATACTCGCTTTATCTCGACTGAAATTACTTCATGAAGCCAAGGACAATTTCACATGCGTCTTTAAATCCACCATATAATCATGATCACATTCTTAGATCACTCCAAATGTTATTCATGACTGTATTACCTCAAACAAAAGCCAGTTAAATATGAGAGAGAAAGAGAGAAGAAAGATGGGTTTGAGAGAAGAAAATGCTGAAAAACAGCCTGTGAGAAACAGAGTGAGAAACAGACAGCAAGGAGAGAAATGGAGTGAGAGTTGGATGGAAAAAAAAGAAAGAAAAGCAGAGGAAGAGAATTAAAGAAACCACAACAGAAGCTCAAAGTCCTTAAAAGCCCCCTTCTCCTCATGTTGGTGGGGTGTGGTGTTGGGGATTTGGCTTAACTTCCTACAGTGCAGCCCCTTTCTAAACATCTCATATATACATCCAGTCAGGCACAAAGTTACAGCAAACCACATCACAACTGTTCATGAGAGCGTGTGTGTTTGTGTGGGTGTGTAAGCTCTCCGCTCAGCTGCTCCCAGACTCACAGAGAGCGTTTGCTGCCTGAGCGTGTCAGAACTGTCTCTTGATCTCATCTGTCTTTTTATTGCCTACTCCCTGTTTCTTCTCTCATTCCTCTCTCTTCCTCCCTATGTACTTCCTTCTTTGTCCTTCATTTTCTCCTTTCAACCCCAACAATCCCACTTCATATTTCTACTTAGACTGTGACTATAGCTTGCAGTTGCTTTGACAGCATTAGTTTTAAGTTCATGAGAATAAAGGTCGTTCTTTTCCCTGTCTCCTCACAGTCTGTATTTGTGTTCTCTCTGGGCTCCTTGCAGACTTACTAAAGTCCTCTGTTTAAGGAAGTAAAGATGGGTTTGTCTGATCCATGGTATGGGTCATTTGTGTATTGGATTTAGTGTAGGACGATGAATGCTTCATTTTGGTTTATGTAACAGTGCCTCAGCTCTACAGTGGGAAAATGTTTGTTCAACCTACCCTCCTCTGACTCTGTGCCATCTGTCAGAGTTTCACATTCAGTCCTCTTAAATTTCCAATAGCACCTTTTCACCAAGATGCAATGAGTTTTGGGTTTCGTAAAGCTTTTGACCTGCTAATAGCGAAATTTGCCAATTCCATCTTTTTTCTTTTAGAACTGCATGAGACATGATGAGTTTTTCTTCTGCTATGAGTTTTAATAAATTATTTTATATATTGGTAAGAGGGGTGTCTTAAAACTGCAGGTGTGAGAGAACAGCTGCTGTGAAACCTGATTTACCGTTTAGGGTAGGGTTAGGGTTAGGGCTACCCTAAATGTGACTCATCCATAAGAAATAAAGCTGAGAGATCAAAATGATTAAACAAATCAATTTTGTTCAATTTCACAGACTTCCTGTTACCTGGCTTTCGTCTTGCTCTCTCTTGTTTTGTCACAGCTTGAATAAATTACAAACATCTTGTGAAGTCATAAAGTAATGGTTTCTTTTTAAATAGCTTCTTACATCGTTGTGGTTTCTTTAACTTCATTTTTTAAAACCTCTGTTAATGAAAAAGAAAGAACTAACTGAGTCTCCTCCCTGCATCAAGAGTGTCCACATTAAAGAGTTTTTTTTGTAGCTGTGACCTTGAAGCACTTAAACTTGATGCATTTGCTGATCAGTAAAAGATTGAATTCTTTTAGTTTCCAACTGGTCGGTTACTCATTGTAGCAGATCAAGCTGAGAATTGTCCTATTCTGATCCTGTGCACTTTTATTGTTGCCTCTTGTTCTTCTACTCTCATACTCATAATGTGCTGTTAGGATTTGCCTTGTGTAAAAAATGTCCACAGAGTAAACTGAAAAGAAAAAAAAAGTGTACTTAACTTCTTTATGGAAGAGCTTAAGTATGTGCTTGCATTTATTTGCCAAAAGGTAAGTATACATATTTGGTAAAAACAGAGTTCTTTTGAATAATGGCCAAAAATAATCAACAAAATGGGATTTAAGTTTGAACTGAACTTTATAGACCTTCTATTCCTGTCCATTAAAAAAAAAAAAACACTTCTTTTGGAAAACTTCAAATGAAAAAACTCACCAAAATTGTGAATTAAACTTGTTCTTTCTTTACCAAAATTCTTGAAAATGATTATTTCTTTTTCAGTCTGCTAGCTCTTTAAACTTTAACACATTTACCAACAGCTGTGGAGTTCTTATAGCTTATACCCACAAAGCAAGAGAAAGCTATTAACTTTATGGTGCCCCATCTAATTTTTATCTTTTGCATGATCCACACTTGGGAAAATTTTAGTTCTCGAAAACAAAGTAATGGAGATGTGGAGCTGTGGAAACACTCAGCACATACACAGCAATTAAATGGTTTTAAGATGTTAAATCTATTAGTCATCAGTTTCTGAGAAGATTTATTGTGAAAATGTCCAAGATGACCTGCGAGAAGTATTATTTACTTCTCAGAGCTTGGAGCTCTTGACAGTCTTGGAGTGAAATGCTGAAGTCAACGTGTGAAATTGAATTTTCCTTCTCTGTTGATAATCAGTACTGCGGCATAAGCAGCCGTCATGATGATAAAACTCAGATGTTGATTTTTAAGAGCTGACATGCAGCTGGGAAAGTCTGTCGCCACAACTCTCTCAGCTTTGAGTCCGATCAGAAGTACGGCTGAATTTTAAACAAGATTTTTGTTTCTAAAGATTAATTCACAATCTGGAAACTTTATTAAAAACCAGTTTTACTTGTTCTTTGCGAAAGAGTTATGACTAAAACTATTATTAACTTGTAAAAAAAAAATCAGCTATTTCTTAATATTTTACAGGTTTGTGTATGGGTTTTCTCAATACACTTTGGTACGACTGGTCTTTTGAGGACATTCATGATCTAGACAAGTGGAAATGAGTTTGATGCCTCTGAAGTAGTGACCAAGTTTGAGCTCCAGATATTTTAAACAATTTATTTAAAGTCAGTTTTATTTTCAAACTAAGCCCTTGAGCCTTTAAAAATAGTGGCGTTACAAGTAAGTGCATTGTGATTTCTTTCATTAGAGGGAGAGAAACCATAGAAAAAAGAAAAAAAAGAAAGAAAAATCTATGTTTTTATTAACTTTTTTAAAGTAATGAACCTGCAGTATTTTTTAAAATATTAATCACATGTTATCTATGTAGTAAGACGTCAAACAGACATTCATCTGCTTTCGTTGCTGTTTTCTTGTGACTAATGTTGGCATTTGAATTTGTTATTATTGTTAATTTATTATCTAGACAAAAGTCTGGGCTCAGTTTTGGATGCCCATCCAGCAGCTGGTTATGTACTTTAGCTGTGACGCTAAATAAAGACACTATTATGCATAAGTGAGGTCCTTTACCATTAAGCCAAGTTTCTCTAACCACCCATAAACATGAAAATAGTTCATGTGTATCCATGCTGGTACAAATGTCTATATCTGTATCACTTGTGGTCCTGACCTCAGTTCCTTCTCCTTCAAACCAACACTGTGTATGAGTCACTATCTTTTAGCCATTTATATATTAGAGTACAGACAGTAATGTTAGCTAGCTTGGTTAGCTAGCTAGTTTCATGAAACGTGCTCTCTTTCGCACCCCGCCTTACACACACACATATAATGGATGTTATCATTGTCCATTATTGACATTCCATCATTACTGTTGTGAAATTGATGTCAATTTATTTTAAAAATGCTCCACAAATTGTCACAAATGTTCGACAAATTGTTCTAACTACGTTTAAAAAAGTTAAAATTGTAAATATTTCAAACATGAAATAATTCTTATTTGAAATAAAACACAGTAGAAAGTACTATACAAAACATTATGACAAAAAGTAGCAAAAAAAAAGCACATTGATTGTAACAAGGGCCAAAAAAGACCCACTCACAGAAGACTGTATAGTCAATCATTCACGCATCAGAGGGTTAAAAAAAATAATTACCACATTCTCATTATATTTTCACTGTTATATAATGCTTTCAATTTCAGTAAAACACTTTGCCATCAACTTGAATTTAATCTTTTTCTTAGCATTTGATAATTGTGCATGAGTCAGGCCTTCTGGTGTGCTAACTGGATTTTTTTTTCTTTCCAATTCTGCCTCAGGTCTTGGACATTTAGTGGACCAGAAAGCTGACAGATGATGCTCATGAATGATGGATGATATCTTCTTGGTGCCAGTTGAATGCATTATAAGGCAATGATACGGTAATTCCAGTTTCTCCACCCAGAAACTTGGTGCTTATACTGTCTGAAGAGCAGCTTAGAAAAGCTACAACCTACAACCACATGGTTGCTCATAAAAAGATGGGGATGCATATTATCTTTTATTTTATTTTCTACTTTTATGTTACAAAATAAAAAAAAAGTACAAGACTTAATTTACGTAGTTTTTTCAGCAGAATGTTCAAGATAAATCTATATTTATCTTGAAATATATATATTTATTTTCTACATAATTTTGGAATGTAAAGGAAATCCAATGTTAGAGTATTTCAGTTGGTAAAAACCCACATTAAGCAATTGTTTTGATATGAAGTGCCCAATTTATTGGCACACCAAACAGTTGACATTTCTTTGCCATTTACATTTCTCAAGGGAACTTCAAATTGTCTCCCTGGGAAATAAAGGTGACATCATGGTATCATAAGTCAATATCTTTAACTTATGAGGTTTTAAATATATATATATATATATATATATATATATATATATATAGATATATATATATATATATATATTATATATATATATAGTATTAACCTGAACTTAGCTCAAGTTCAGGGGATTAGCAGATAGTTTTTAAGCAGATTTTGATCTCAAATATTCCCATTCAGCTGTAATCACTAACTGCAGTTCAAGGTCTCATCTATCCACAGGAATTATTCTCCATGTTTGTTGCTAAAATAAATATCTGAACAAAATAGAGTCCCACAAAAATGGGAGCAACATTGTCCTGTTTGAATTAAGTGTCTCCTGTTGTCACAATAACACCCAAGGTGTATAGACCCAATGTTTTTTGTGCGTGCAGATTCATGTGCTGTAGATTTGTGTTTGAGTATGGAAACGTATGCAATTATTATGCTGGTGTGCGCCTCTGTTCCTACTGTAGTATGTAGGTCACCAGTATATTCCTGATGAAGTGTCGTCCTCTGGAGAACCATACAGAGCCTAAATTAGATACTATTATCTCTCTGTGTGGGTGTGTGTGAGAGAAAGGGGGGGAGAAAGTGAGAGTGAGATAGACAGCGCTATCAGACAAAAGTGCCGCAGGCATGTGTTTTCAGTTTTGTGCACATACATGCTTTCACATGTCAGTGTGGTATTGTGATTATGCATGTCCATTTATGTGTATAGGTGTATGAAATTGCAGACTATCTCAAATATAATGTACTTATGTATGTGCAGCAAAATGACAGTCATCATCAGGCTGGCTTGCTGATCCTTCCTGTTATGACTGACCTGTAAATGTAAATGTCAGTCTGTGATTTTTAATAACTCTGAAGTTGTAAAATCTGTCCTTTTTGCAACAGAAAGCTTGCTAACTGGTTACAGGGTTAGAACTTTGATCTAAAAAAGAAGAAAAAAAAAACATACAGTGGCTTTTACATTTTAGAATGCCTGTTTTCTGAACTGTAAGTAAAATTAGCAGGTTTGTTCTGGTAAAGATGTTTGTGCCATCTGCTTTAGCTTCAGCATTCAAGGCAGTATCTATCATTGCTTGTGTGGCAAAATTCACTTATCTGCCTTCACATTTAAATTGGATGAACTCAATTCTTGTCACTGTTCAGACCAAATACACGAAAACCAGATTAAATTTTTTTGTTTGTGCAGTTTTGGAAGCTTTATTTATTTATTCGTTTATTTATTTATTTATTTGTGAAATTGCAGTTTAAATGTCCACCTTCTTATCCATTTATACTCGGTGCAGATTTGTTCTCGGAATCAAAATCCACCACTCTATATTTTATGTAACATCCTTCAGCAAAATGTCATCGGCTATACCAACTGATCCGGGACAGTTTTTTGAGACACTGCACAGCCCATAATCCTCTCTTCATTTCGAGATGTCTACATCTCTAGTCAGTCTACTGTCTGTTAAGTCGCAGGGACAATACCACATATGGCCAATCTGTCATACCAATTTGGAAATTTTTCCAGAGCTAAGCCCCAAAAGTTATATCCAACCTGAGAGGAATGAATAGGAGTGAGAATGTCTGCCTTTGAAAGGCTTCATGCTTTGACCAAATCATATGCTGTCACTCCTATGCCTTAGAAGGCCTGCACTTTTCATCAAAGCCCTTGATGGCTACCTTTCACAGCGCTGTCGAATACACCCTGTGAGCATCCCTCCCCCTTTTCCTCCCATCCCCTCCCAAATCTCTTTCTTCTTCCCTCCGATGTCTACTACCCCTTCTCAGTGTCCCCCGCCCCCCACAATCTTCCATTCCCCTTGTCTTTAATCCCTCTATCCGTCTCTCCTTCCCTTCCTCAATCAAACCCTCAAATCCCTCCAGTTTTTTTCTCCTTTTTCCCTCTGTGTCTGTGTGACTTCAGTTCTGTCAAGGTAGATGAAACAAGAGAAATTCAAATTCATCACAGTCATAACTTGCCATAATAATCAGCCACTCTCATTCCTCCCTTGTGGTGGCAGGCCAATGTTGCTGGCCCCCTTTTTTGGGGGGTGGTTTATTTGCATATTTGTTTCCCCTTTGTTTCTTTTGATGAATTATTTACCATAGAGAAAAATGACAGCGGAGATCAGTGATGATTGCCGTCACGGGTGCTGCTCTTTGTAATTGTTCTCCTTTTTTGCTGATTTTCAATCAACTTTTTTCATGCAGACTACAGATGAGGAACAGGGAGGAGAACAAAAGTTACACATACATTTTAGCATTTCTGGTGAAATCTTCCCCTGTCTACAGGGATTGCGGCTTCCATTGTTGTCATAATGATTAGAGTTGGCAAAAGCAGAAAAAAAACACAAAATGTGCTCACACACCTCCTACACAAAGGACAAGTTAGATGAAAACAAACGCATCCTGTTCTTGATTACCTAACTACTAAAGATACCTAATTGTAAGGCAATATGCTACAAATAATAGTTTACCGAAGACATTAATTTTTAGTTAAGTGCAAACTGAGCTGGTGGAAGCTTAAGCATCAGACCACACATGTCAGTGCAACAAAATACGATCTTTAGCAGAGTAATCACAGTAAGTTCTTTGCCTTGACTGTAATCCTCAGTAGCTGTGTTCACAGAGTGTTTCAAGGATATGCGCCACACATTTTCAAACACATAAGCAGGCACACATACATACACCGCCATCCTGTCCCTGTGTTGCCCTATCCAAGAATAACAATGCATAATTCATGCATTCTCGTCTGCAGACAAAAGTTGCCGTTTGCATTTATTATTTATTGAAAACAGCTCACATGATGAATCCTTTAACAAACAGACTAAGCGCTGCACCTATTTCTTCCCCTTGTGGTGTTTGTGATTTGGTATAGATTTATATTTTTTTATTTATTTATTTTTTTTGTTGTTGTGCATGGGCTCATTAGCTGAAATTGGGATGTGAGAGAAATGGGAAGGGGAAAGAAGATATGGAAAGGTGCTGGAGAGAGGGATGGTTTGAAGAGAGAAATTGGGCCCAAAGAGTTAATACATCAGTTTTTAAAAGGTCTGGATGAATGAGGGACTTGACTTATTAAGCAACCTAATTCATTTAACAATAATTTATTTTTTTATTCTTTTTTGGCACACAGTTTTATTTCAAACTTCAGGACTTCTCTGGAAAAGTCTTTCTATGTTCTCTAAGATATAATTACTATATGTTTCTTCTGAACAGTTTCAATAAGGATGGGAGTAATTGTTTAAGACTGAAAGGAGCATTTGCCAATTGACCAAGAGTTTGTGATATTCTTTCTTTTTTTTTCAGACTGCCAATTAACAGCTTATCACCCATGCAGAGTAAGTTTAATATTATTATGCTGATGCCTTTTATATTTAGAATTTTCTTCAATGGGTAAAGACACAATAATGTTGGTGATTTCTGTTGAACAAACTTAAAAATTCAATTTGGAGTAGCAGCGATTAAACAGTTGATACGATATGATAAGACATTAGATGAAATAATCACATCAGGATGAAAGCTGGCAGTCCAGACATGAGCAGGGAAAGAATCTATTTCTAATGGCTGCCATGGGAAAAAATAATGAATTGCATAGATTTAGGAGATTGGGAGATTTTTGCTCAGCAATGTACCTGATGCTCTGTGCGTGCCTGTCCATATCTTTTTGGTAAATGTATCCTGTCCTGATAGAACAAGATTTTCTTTAGTTTCTCGAGCAAATGGGAAACATTAAAACCAGGTTTTCTTGCATTCGAGAAATAGTTGCAAGAGGTGCAGAATGAGCACAGATATTGATGATCTACCAAAAATTCATAAACAGTTAACTTAGAAAAGATAAACTGTTTGTACAGGAAGGTTTGTATGAGACGTGGAATGCAGCGGAAAGTTGTAGACGTAATTCTCCAGACACACTTATGTAGCCTTCTAACTCTGATTCACCTCCATTAAATGGTTACATTTTTGCTGGTTTTCTGTGGTGTCAAAAGATACACAGGTAGTATGTAATGCTCCAGCATCACCTCTATGGAAGTTGTATTATCGGTTAATAGACACGAAAAAACAAATAATTTAAATTTGAGAAGAAAAAAAAAACCCTCCTATGGTCTGATATTATATGTAGGGCATTGACCTGTCCTTTAATTTCATTCCTGATCCAGTAGAACATTAACTTTCATTACCCTCCTCCCAGTTTGCACAAATCACTCTCAATGCAAATACGTCTTAGATTTCATGTTTTGCTTTGGTTTGTATCTAAGGAGATACAAGCACAATTGGCATAGCAATAGTTGGTAGGTAATCAGTTTTGCATAGTAACCTACCACCGAAAATAACTTTTGATTTTATCTGTTTAAATATTATCAAACCAGCTGGTTGCCCCATTATATTTTTGTTCCCCTTTGAGTACGAGATAATACAAAGCAAATTCAAAATGTCTTGAACCATATAGTTTAATCAGCTTCAAAGTGATAAATCTATTGAACATATGGAATTGGTCAAGGAGCAATAGGTCCACCTCATTTCACCTGTCATCTTCAGTACAGTAGTAAAGAGCTGGCAACTATGGCTAATTTTAACATTAGTGTCATTCAGTAACCACACATATGCGCAAGACATTTAAATGTTTGCCGATTGTGGTCATTCAAAAATGTAGGACTTTAGTGTCTTAGAAAAAATTATGATCTTAAAGACTCACAAATCACAAGTTCCACAAAAAGTAATCATATCCCTTTGTAAACCTCCTTGGAGTTTATCACCAAAACAAAAGTTTTTAAAAAAAGACAAAAAACAAAGAGGAAATGCCATGCGGATTGCTTAGAAAGTCATTGACTAAAATTTCATTAACCAAATTCCTGTTAAAATTAAAAGAACTGACTAATTGTATAAATGAATCCAGATTACATGCAATATTAACATTTCCAGATTTGGTAAAAAATAAAATAAAATAAAATAAAATAAAAGTTGAGCTGTCTTCTCATTTCTTTAGATGCACATATTTATCGACACGGTAAGATGAAGGAATGGAGAACAAAAACAAGCAACAAAATTGAAACAACTTGTGACAAAGTGTACTCTCTCAAACTTCAAATCACAAACTGGTTTCCACTCAGGGGCCACTTTTTAATAATTAACCGGTTCTTCTGTTACAGGCCCCTGTCATTGTGGCTCACATTGGCAGAAGACCACCTCACAGGGATTTTCCTCTTCACCAGGTAACCACAAAGAGGAAAAGAATCACATTATCCACATGTACAGTGCCCTCATCCGCCCACACACGTAAGCCCTCTGCACTACACAGTGCTGACCACCACCGAGGCAGGAAACACAGAAACGCGCACACACGCATAGCATATTATCTTTATGAGGTGTTATACATCGGTGACCACCAACACAGGGTCTCAGTGTTCCCTAATCCACACTGCGTCTGGAAAGGCCGCTTCATGCAGTTGAGGGATTACATTGTCGGATTAATGAGAGTTTTAATTTGAGTCATTGTTGGAACTGTTGGCCGTAAGAATAGGTGGGGAAATAATACCAGTACTTTCTGAATGAAATTAAATGTGAAATACCTTCAACTTTCATCTTTTATTTTAGAAATAAACCAGAAAAAAAGGAAACTTTGTAAGATCAGAAACTTTTTTTATTTTGTTTTGTCTAATAGTGATAAAAATATTACTTTGAAAAGTGTATCTGATTTTACCAGACATTCATTTGTCAAGAAGCTAAAAGGCCATAGTTGTTCAAATATTATACACAAAAAAGCGACAGCTTTTGAAAACTGTTAAATTAAAAGAACATGGCATCCTCGTTGTTTTTCTATGTGAGTTCTGTATTAATACAAAGAATTTGAATTTTCAGTATCAGATGATCTACTGTTGAAAATAAACATTCAAAGGGAATGTGTGGCCATTGACAACACAGAAATAGATGTAAGCATTTTTCCCACAAAGATCTTATACGATAGAGACCTTTTTGAAATCTTGAAGGAAGCAGGTGAAAAGGTCAAAAGTCTCTTCGCAAATGGGATTTGACTGTTGAAAACATGTTTTGATGCAGGATGATAAAAACAACTATAATATTATATAAATTTAAAGGAAGCGTCAACCCACAACTAAAACGGTGAGGAAACAAGACGGCTCACGACACAGCCAGAGCACAGAGGTTGCTTAAAAGATCCAAGTTAAGAAAATGCTTAAACCAGTTTCATATTTTATGTTCCTATTCTCAGTACAAAACATGGAAAGATGTCTCCAGTCTGTATGAAATCAGAAGCAACTCGCAAAACTATGACTTGCTAATTTAAGACGATCTATTCTGGTGACTTCTGTTGAAAGAACATGCCATGCACGACATGCATGTTCAAATCTATATTTATCACTTTATGAATCACAATTCATAAAGTGATATAAATTCACTTTATAAATTCATAAAGTGATAAATATAAGTGATAAACTTTGCTATTGTTCATTTTGTCTTGGGTGGACATTTGTGTCTGAGTTTGGCTTCTGCAGTGTAAAATCACCACTCTTTGTTAAGCTGTGGTTTCATTCTCTGCACCCTGCTGCATTTTTTCTTCTTCTTTTTTTTTTTACATACAATTTTCTCAATTTGGGTCATGATGGTAAACATAAATGCCTTTTGATAAATCCCTGAAAACCACTGAAAACAGTTGAAAAAGTGATACAAAATGTCCTTCAACATTTTATGTACAGCGACTCCCAATCATTTCCATCTGAATGTCAGTTTACGGATTCATTTAAATATTATCCACAGTTTGGCTTAATCTTGTTTTCATTTTAACTGCTGACCTTTAAGGTAGTAAATAGCAGAAACCTTCCATGAAAAAGCTAAATAATGCACAGATATCAGAGACATAGATGCATTAAGTCCCCTAAAATGGCGCAGAACCATAAATCAAGTTGGATAAAGAATACTCTAATTTTATCATTCTCATGAGGAGATCGCCCAATCGAACATAAAACTGACCATTCTTTTTCTTTTTTTTTTTTCTCTCTCATTTGGTTCCCAAAGCAGAACTAAATGGCTTTCTTTATCTGCTGTTTGTCATTTTAATTTGTCCTTTAAATTAAACACAAAATTTAACATATGTATCAAACAGGAGAATATGAATTGCACAATCATCCATTTTTTTCCTCCTTTTCTCATTTAAAGCTTGTGGAACAAATGAATTTAATTATTAAGATTAAATGAAAACACTCGTACAATCAGCTTCTGGATAGGCTGCTGTTTTACCGGTTTCAAACTGGGAGTCACTGCTGAGTTCCACATGTAGTCCAAACTGCATTTATTTAGAAAATTAAACAATTTTATTCTTTTGATTTTAGTTGTGGACGGTGCTGGCTTTTAAGTAAAAGCTCAAATTGAGTTCAAAATTAATTTCGAGCTAAAGGCAAAATTGTCGACCACTGTAATTTTTTTTTGAAGATCATTTCTGTCTGAAAAGGTTTTCCACTATTCTCGCCCTGCAGAAAGTTGCAGTGAGCATTGGATCATATGATGAATGCTCATCTGATACTTATATATTGTTTTACTTCACAGCAGGGCTGAAACTGAATTATCCATGTCCTTTGCACATTTTTACTTTTCAGTTCAAAACCTTGCTCATTGTCTATTCACTTTTGTAACCCAGGGACAATATTGCCTAAGAGCCATAATTTCGAAGTTTTAAGTATGTGGGTGAAATACATGACATGCCAGCATCACCTTTTAATGTATTTGTTAGAATTGCATGTTGGTGTGTGAGCATATGTGACAGATTTACAAAAATTAAAGAATATTTGGAAGATTTCTATACAAAAATGTACAAACCCCTGCACAACCAGTCAAAGCCAGTAGGACATTCTCAGACATTCAGAAAAGCATCAGCTGTTATGATCCAATAAAAAAAAAAAGTTACCATTTGGACGGTGCTGTTAACTACACAATTTGTTGGTTTCTCTGGGATGTGATTAGAGGTCATGTTTACAAACCACTGCTGTACATGCATGTCCATTAAAGTGAATTCAGGAATTCACAGCGGCACCTGTTTACCCATGCAAAAACTCTGAAAAGCTTCAACACTCTCAATGAGTCGTCAGGTTCAGACAAAGCTGTGCATCTTTGAAAGGGGATTAAAAAGCTGCCTTGTCAGCAGGAGAGGTCTTCATAACAATGAGCTCACAAGATTCATACAAGAAAAGTTCTTCAAAATTGTCAACAAATGTTTTGAAAACATGAACTGTAAATGAACCAGGCCACTTCTCTGTTGCAAATTGGTGATTACAACGCAGACAAAGGCAGCATGATAGACATTATGGGCATGTATAGAGGGGAACTACGTGAAGTCACAGCTCAGACATTTCATTGTTCAGTATCTCGGTAATGCTAAATCCATTTCTGTGGTAAACAAATTTCCATGTGGAGAGGTGGAATATCTTTTATACTTCAGTAAATAACTCAAAACCTTTGAGCTTGGACAATACTAGACATTGAGATCTCCCAGAAATAAAAGGTAAAGGCTGGGAGGGCAAATTAAAGAAAGGTGCACTTAGTGAATGCAAAGTGTTTAGCCACACATTTTATTTAGTGGATCTATACCATTTGTTAAGAACTCCTATTAGAACTTGTTGAAAGTCCATTGGCCTTTTAATGCTGATTCAAAGTGGCATTCTAAGTATGCATCCTGAAATCTAACATAATTGTTCCCAGTATGGAATCCACTTTACAATCTGTAATTAGAAGACATATCACTTCACCGACAGTGAAATTATGAGTGCATCAGAGATGTAAACCACTTTATAAATTTATTTACCAAAATCAGAGTTCAGGAATGTGACAAATATGAGAGGCAGGTTCCTTTCCTAATGAAATACAATCACTTGTATACGTACTTGACATGAATGATTTGTGAGATGGCTGTCTCTGGGTTCACTTTTATTCAGTTTACACCGGTGTCTTGTCAAAATGAGTGTTTCTACATTGTTGTTTGTTTTTTAACGATATGCTACATAAATTTATAAACTTAAGTCTATTTTTACATCTTTCTGGCCTAAAGATGTTGTGTGCCTAAAAATAGAAAACATTACTACTAGTTGTGATGCAGTGCAGTTTGTGCTCGACCACCTACTTCATACCTATTCATCAACTTGACTCTTTGACCCCACTCACATATGTCACCAACTTCTATTCTTGGAAAACTAAGTAGGCCATGACTGCGCTAAATACAGGTGTGATCTCATTAAAACGTTTAGATGGCGGCTTCACAGAAAACTTTCAAACATGGTCCAGGACACGCTATTTTAGCAGTTTGTCCAAAAACAATAAAAAGCCACAAATTGATCTGATTGGACTATCTTCAAACAAAGTTATTACCTGCACGTCACCCCCTTATTCATAAATAATTTAAATAAAAGTCTTTGTTAAAATCAGACACTTCAGTCTCCATCGCTCTCTTTCTATTTAATGATTTTTGAGGAATCTAGATTGATGGACAGAGACTGATTGCATCTAAGATAAACAATTCAACTCCTGGTTTTTGATTTATAATGAAAAACACCGAGTCGAAATGGTTCTGACAATCCGTATTAAAAAAGATTGCTGCTTTTCATTTATTATTTTTTTCCAATATATTCCCACACACTGCTCTTTCATTATTCTAAATTAATCACCAGCTTTGCATATTTCTGCAGCTGCTACTCATAATTTATTTTTTTCAAGTCCTTAGAGAAAGAAAACGTCACCCCAGAGTTCAAAATAAGTCCCTTATTCTGGCCCAGGTTGTTTCTGCTTTTTGACTGCTTCAAATCTTTGAATACGTTTTTCCCAGACCTGGAATACGCTGTCAGCGTGATCGTCCATCATACAATACAGACCATCATCAGATCGTTCAGGATGCATGTTTGCTCTGTAGATCTGTGTTGCTGCATATAGTTGCAGAGAACATATTCCTTGCAGGCTCGTCTGTTCATCACAAGACTTCCTGTGCATTAATTGTAATTAAACAGCATTGTAAGCAGAAATAGATCTATTATTGCAATATTTTAAAAGAAACAACCTTTCTGTTTCCCCATTTATTATTACTACTAAACAAAATATTTTTCATTCTTATTTTGATTCTAGTTTGTTTTTAAAAGCTGCGATTTATTTAATGTGACTTAAATGGCAACGCTTCGCTTCTCCCAAACAGTTTTTCGTGCGAGAACGTAGCCAGACT